TAAGTCAGGGCATGGCTAACTCACAAATAGAATTGGAATTAACTTGTTGGGTTTTGCGGAGGGGACTATGAACTGAAGGAGAACGCGAAGAAAACACCGTCGAATAAAGAGAAAACTAATTACTGAATTGTCGGATAACAACCATGTTAATTTTCTTGTTGGTTTGAAAAAACTGACGAKATAAACTAAACCAAACAACAACAACGAAAACACGGAACTAATTTCATTAACAATCATTGGAACCTACATTCAACTTACTGATAAAAGACAAATAATAAAACTTAGAAACCGGTTACAACCTAATTAGAATTTTGCTTTAAGGCTAAGCTAGTTAATTAGCTGAATATCATAATGATTAATCTGACTATAAATTGTCGGGGGCATTTAAGGGTATATATATATATATATTTGCACGTATGCAGTTTTATCTTCTATCAAAGTGAAGGTTCAGCTTAATTAGCCGAGACAAAAAAACGAGACAACATTTTTTTTTTTTTTTTTGACTTTCAAAAAGCTAAATACAATTTAGTTTTTTTTTTTTTCGGCAATAATGAAAACTGATAGTTTGTTTAACTTCATTGTTAATTCAAATAAATCAAAGCTAAATTCAAATGGTAAATTTTCTTGCTTCAGGTATGGTTGCCGAGGAAGAGTGGTGACCATGGATGACAACCGGAACGCTTTAAGAGGAAATTTTTTTCAATAATGAGCAATAATGGCAAAAAGCGCCAAAAACTTGACTTTCGTATGAGTTTTGATCGTCCCAATTTTCGTTTTGGGTTAACGCTCAAAACCTTGTTCAACAGTTAGAAACTGATGTACTATGATAAAATGCCTGTTTGAAGCGGTATTTTCAATTATAAATTAATTCAATTTCAAAGATGTTTTGTTGCTTTTGTGTTAGAATGTTGCTTTGTCAGGCTTTTTTATAGAAAATGTATGGGAAATAAGCAAATGAAGGCCTAATCATTTTCAAATAAAATTTTTGCTTTGGGTTAACACTTTGATTCATCTCCACTTCCAAACAAGTTAAAGTTTCTGAATCAACAAGATTTTAGCCTTGTACAACAGCCTTTCTTCAAGAAAATAGTTTTTGGCGTTCACTGCTTGAATACGAAAAGAATTCTCTCTTAAAAAGAAAGGAAAAACAAAAAACAAAAAACTGCGGGAATAACAGAAATGAAGGGATAGATTCGGAACTATTGACTTCTTTATTGTGATTTTAAAGCATAAGGTCAGTAGGTTAACGTTAAAATATCTTGATCAATTGTTACATAAAACATGATATCAGGTTAACTACCCTGATGATTTTTATTCAAGCTCTTATTAATGAAAGCGGCGCGGGAAAAAGAATACGATAAAACTCTCTAACAAATTATTAGATACTATAGACCACTTGCATTGATTTCCTAGAGAAATCGTTCTTGGGGACAAAACAATAGGCCGTCTTTTCTTGAAAAAAAAAAAAAAAAAAAAAAAAAATCCATCGTTAATTCATTCCCTCAGAACATTTCCTCTCGGAACTCAGTGCAACTGCTCTATGAAAAAATGCTTAATTTTAGGCACAATTTGCTAATATTTCGACAGAGTTTAAGATCATGTCGGAAAAGGTGTGATCAGTTCTAATTGAATTCATAAACTGAAAAGTTCGGCTCAGGTCTCGAGAAGGTTCACGATTGCTTTGCCATTAATTGTTACCTGCCTACCAATTAATAACCAGCCAATAGGAGCTTAGACATGTTTTCTATAAGATAGATGCTTCTGGGCGTCGTTCATTCAGAACTGCTCTTCGACTAAGAAGACAACTGGTACGCTTTTTTTCCGAATTATAGTAAACAACTTTGGGTAAGAAAGAGCTTTTTAAGAAAGAGTTCGTTATGGTTTTTCCTCCGATTTTAGTGTTAAAATCAGTACAGAGAATAACTTTGTTTTTTCCTTAGGAAATCCACGATGCAAAGCACTGAGGCCAGCCAATCAAAACACGAAGAAACTGAGCATTGTTTTAAAGGGTACCGCGGAACTCCAGGTAAGTCATTGGACTCTAGTCAAAAATAAATCTCGTAAAAGACGGCGTAAATAAGGCCCCGTCCACTTAAGTAAGGTTCCTTTTCTTTGCGAAATGGCCTTCTGTCCACATGTTTCTAGTGAATAAGTCACTTGAAAACACAAATTTTCGACAACGGATAGGTGTGGACTCGCAATACGAAAAAAGAGATTCGAAACTGAACACTACGTGTGGAAGAGTTTTTTTTTCAAAAACGAGGTCATATTTTCACAAAAATAACCATTGGATGAATGAACGCTTCGCTTTTGATTAATACCTTCAAATTATACTTTTTTTTTTTTTTTTTTTGACGTTTTTTCATGCTGCTTTCTTTTGTGATACTTTTACTCCCTGCACTATATAAACTCTAAGATTTTCCGCTAATCATTTCTCTTCTACCCCGATGAAGGACTAATGTCCGAACGTAAGTACAGTAACCAACTTTTTTTACCGTCATTCTTTTATTCCCTGTACTATTTAAACTCTACCCTTCTTCTATTGAATCATTTCTCTTATATTCCGGCCGACGAAGGACGAATGTCCGAAGTGTTAGTACAATTCCAAACTTTCTTAAATTCATTCTAATTTTTACGCCTTGCACAATATCAACGCCATACTATTCTCCTAATTTCCTCTTTTACTACGCCGCGGGAGGAACAACGTCTCAAACGATAACGTAAGTAGACAATTTTAGACGGTGTTTAAGTTTCCTTTTTCAAGTACTCACTTATTCGACTCTGAAAAATATTATGTATTTGAGTACTATTTCTTTGATGTGCGCGGTAGGCCTTTCTAGAAGCTTGCCGGGCGGTATACCTTCCATCATACTCTTCTACACGTTCAGTTTTCTATGCACACGTACAACACTCMACTAAAATGTCTTGATTCCTGTTTCGTAGAGAGAGAAAAATCTGAGGCCCGGGATCGAGAAAAATCCCTTGCCACACGCCCTGTTGCATTTTCGAGAGGACGATATCTTAGCAGCATAGACCTCCAGCTAACCATGAGTATCTTGATTCGTAATGTTCATGCCAGAAAAAGTAAAGAAAAAAAGGAAAAAAAAAAAAAAAGAAAGAAAAAGAAAAGAAATACAACGAATTACTCGTTATGAGTCGGCCAGGACAAATGGCTTACTCCAATACATTTTAAGAACGATTTTTTTCCAATTTGATCTCCAATTAACTTATGACCAAACTGATTAATGTTTTATCGAGTTTCATTTTGTATTCATAGTCTTAAGGAATCGTTCATTTTAATCAGATTTACTTAGCCGACTGATTACTCCGTGTTCCCTCAATTCAAATAGGATTTAAATCGCGTCTAGTGACCAGGAAAAAACTGGAAGACGTTTGTTAGTGTTAATAAATCACCATGGCAACAACTTGCAACTTCAAGAGCGAGTATTTTCAACAAAGATCTCCATCTTGTGTAAATAGTCAGCTATATTCTTGGTCATAAAAAGTTAACCTTAAAAATGGGTGGTTGTCGACTCGAACGTTTTAACTACTTCAACAACCACACACTTCATAAATAAGCTCTTTCTCTTATAATTATTTTAGTTTCAACTTTTTTTTTCAATATTCATTAATATTGCTCCTGTGAATACTTGCATATATTTATGTGTGTGTGAGTCAATAAGAATGTTCAAAATGTTCAAAATGTTTAACAATACACGCTTTATTCACCATTTTCCATACATCGGTTCACTGGTCAAAGTCAAAGCATGCATTCATTCGAGATTGCAAGTTCAAATTTGGATAATCCTTTGAAAGTACCTTGGGACCTCGCTTGAGCGCTTTGTGTTTGTCCAGTGAACCAATGTATGGAGAATGGTGAATACATGTCACGTGTTTTATTTCTAGCTTTGTTTTCATTGATCATTTATTCACAAAGTACCGTACGTTGTATTTTATTCTATTGGAGCAATCTTTTCACGCTGGGGCTGTGGTAAAATCGCGTCATAGTAAATTTAATCGAGTGATGTTTATCTCAAAATACCTTTATAGTAGGCTTTTCTATATATGCTATTCTAACTTTCCTATCATTGTGATGAAGCTATCACAAGAATACTGAGCGCGGTAAGCATGTCACACTTACTGTTACTATCAACCCCAAACGCGTAATCTTCAAAGATGCTTTTTATTTCGATACCAATTTGTATCTTGGTAACGCTTCTAACGATTCTTTTTTGAATTTCTGTCGGTGGGTACAAAGCCCATGAGATATGTATGACAATCAGTGAAACAGCCGCCATCTTGGTTGATCTAACAAGAGAAGCTAGAAATGCTTTGTATACTCAACCAACACTGGGTGGTTATGAAGTAATATGCACATGTATATGCAGCAACTTGTTTGTTATTTGCAGCTAATCGTCTAATTTGCTGCTTGTCCCTTATGGGCCATTGTATAAATGAATATAAATATCAAAAACGTTTTTTCTTCATTTTCTCCCCCAGACTTTCAGACTCTTTGTAACGACAGGCCGTTTCATCCATCCATCTACCTCAATTCCAGACCTGGTGAACTAGGGCCTCGGTTCTGCCCTCACTTCCTCTCTACTCGACACCGCATTGAATCGAACCAATCACAATTCCCGATATTCGGCACCAGTACAAGCTTCTCCTCAATGCCATGGCAAACAATGACGTCATATAGACCACAGCACCGATTTTATGCTAGCAAACTAGCAGAAGAGAATAGATTGCATTCCTTGAGAAATGGTTGTGGAAGCAGTGTGCATCGTCCAACACCTATCTATTTGGCCCCGGGTCCCTTGAGAGTGCTCCAAGAAGATTGGGCACTAGAAGCGCAAATGACTCCCAACACACTTCCATCTCAAGCCAGCAAAGAAATGGTCGAGAAGGGAGACGTATGTCTGAGAGACAAGACAAGCGAGATAAAAGACAAAAGACAAGATGGTGGTCATCAACGTTTTAAAGAAATTGGCTCGAGGCATTTGTCAGCATTTTCTTCAAAACGCAAAGAAACTGTGCAAAGTTCAAGAAATGACGAAAGAATGTCTGGCCTTCAAACTGAAGCAGTAGACGAGAAATTACGAGGGGATAAACAACGATATCAGGTAACCCCAGGAGCTTTGAATCCAGACGATAAAGATGACAAGAACACCTGGAATAACGAGTGTAATGAAGAATGTTTTAATGCAAAATTCAAGATTAAAGAAGAGCCACTTAATAGTCCCATAGACTCTGAACCGAATAGCGTCGATAAAGATCCTGTCCATCAACAAGAGGAATTCAGTTTTCGGGTCTATGGGACAGACCATGCGCTATTGCTGCCACAAATCCCCAGTGAGGTACCAACATATGCCGAACACAGATCTTTTTCATCATCAGTACAGACAACTGATAATTCTGCAGGTGCTAGAAGTTTGAACTTCAATCAAGACCCAAGTTCTACCAAGTTTCAATCCTCGGGAAAAGACAGTAGCGTTGAAGGCAACCAGCAACAGAAACCAAAACACATCTGTGATGAGTGTGAAAGGTCGTTCACTCGATCCAGTACGCTTGTCACACATAAGAGGATTCACTCGGGCGACAAGCCCTTTTCTTGTGAAGTCTGTGGACGCGCATTCCGTCAGCCTGGTAACCTCTCCCGCCATCGTCTCACTCACACAACAACCAAGCCATACGTGTGCCCGCACTGCAACAAAGCCTTTAACCGTGCGTCCAACTTACACACCCACATGCGCACGCACAGTGACTACAAACCTTACGCCTGCGATTTTTGTGACAAGCGATTTCATCAGAAGGTTGATATGAAAATCCATCGGTATACCCACACAGGAGAGAAGCCGCATAAATGTTCCAAATGTGGGCGTGGTTTCAAGCAACTGACGCATCTGACGTACCACATGAGAACCCATTCTGATGTCCGTATGTATCAATGTGAATTCTGTGGCAAAGGTTTCAACCAGAAGGGTAATCTACAAGCACACAGGTACAGACATACCGGCGAGAGACCATTCAAGTGCAATGTGTGTGGTAAAGGGTTTACCTTAGCGTCGACAAGGAACACCCATCTCCGAACACATGCCGATAAAAAGCCATTTGAATGTCAATACTGTGGGAAGGCTTTCTACCAGAAGAATGCGCTAAAAACCCATTATATAGCTTCACACCCCTACAGTGGCGGAGTACTCATTCTGTAATGTACTTGAAATTGAACATATTACGTACAAAAATAGACAAACAGAGGACGTTATATTGAGAACTCTAAGTAGTGTTGTATAAAGTACAAACTGAACACTGGTGACGCAGTTAGCCTTTGGTTTTATTTCTTATTGAAATATGAACATATATATTATTTTAGTATTTTTACACAGAATATAATAAATCCAGAGCGCTCATTGGTCGCCATTTACGTCTTATGCTGCTACATTCACGGCATACAAGTGAATATAGCGCCCTCGTGCACGCTCATTTRTCGATTTGTGCTGCTTTCAGAGATAAATATAATTTGAAAAACTCTCTCTCCATTATTCATTATATTTACCTGTGTTAAAAATACTAAAACAGTTATTCGACTCAGGCTCAGTAAATACTCGCGTCTCGGTAAATATTCACCGATATTCACTCCGTCTTCGGCGAATAATTGTTGAATATACACTGCCCCATCTTATAATTATATTATGAAAACTACGGCTGCAACCCACACTTCAATACCACTTCAATACCCTGATTGAGGAATCGAAAATCATGTGCATGAAAGCTCGTATGTGTCAATTTACCATTATGTACAATAGATGATATATAGAGGATATTACATGGGCGCGCGGAGATACGAAATTTATCTTCTCGTGTTGAAAATCTCTCACTCGTTCGCTACGCTCACTTGTGAGAGATCTTTTCAACACTTCAAATATTCTGTTTATTATATAATATCCATAAAACCAACTTAACAAGCTTTTTATTATTATAAAAAGTTTATTATATAATTATGAATGAAGTATATTTTGGCTTTTTCAGGCAATTCTTTCCGTGTATTTTTGAATAGCCATCGCAATGGTGTTATTTTCACGTGTGAAGATATCAGTTTTTCGAAATAGAGATTATCACATGTTAAGAACTTGATATCGTTTTTATTCACGAGTTTTTCCGTATCATATCGCGAACGAGCGAGTCCTCGATATAAACACACACAAAATGTTTTATTGTCTTAAATATCCTTAACCGACTTACACCATTTCAAAATGTTAAAGAATTATACGTTTCCAATTCAATATCATTCAAGATATTAAAGCTTAATTAAAAATGTAAGAAGCACAAAATTCATCTTGAATTTGATAGAAATAAACACTAAATAGAGATTTATGTGATAATGTGATTGGTTCAAGTAAAATATATCGCAAGATTTGATTGGACAGTTTACCGTGAAGTGATATCGTATCACTTCACTGATATGGTTTTTATTCACGGCTTTATTTCACGGATATCGACCCTAAATGTGTAATAAAAATAGATATTTCATTGGTAATTATATAATAAAGTATGCTATTTAAATAAAGTTTTCCTTACRATTTAGACTTATCGCATTCGATCTCCCTCTCTTCATATTAGCCATTCTGAGGTCGAGGGGAAAACTGGGTCGAGTTGGAATTGCAGTGCATTGTGGGACGTTTTAGGGACATACTTCCAAGATGGCGCCTATTTCGTTCCATCAAAATACTCCCACAATGCACTGCAATACCAAATCGATCCGATATTTTTCTCAACCTATAAATGGCGTTAGCTTATGAAAACAAAGGACTTGGTTATTGGGCAACTTTTTGACTTTTCTGTGTCAATTCGAGATTATAAGGTAATCTCTGTCAAAACACAAATATCGAAAGTTAATCTTGAATGATTTTCTTGAGAAGCTCTACATATATTGATTAATTAAACGAACTTCAAGTTATTTGAAGCGTCATTGAGTACGTTGGATAACTTTTGTTGATTGGTTGCTCATTTTTTCACTGGTTAATTTTTATCCCTTACCGCGTGTGTGAAATCTAATCAAGGAAAAGAAGAGCCATGAAAATTCACAGAGTTCTTTCATTGTTTAATTCATCTACTCTTGAAGAGTATTTTTACATTTTTTAAATGCCTAGATTAGGGACTTCGTATACACTCAATTGAAGAATCGTTGTCGGGTTCAGAAACTGCAACATAAAAGCTTAGTCCGAAATGGCACATGGGAAATGACATAATTATATTATAATTTATTCATTTGCGCCATCCATGGCTTGCAGACATACATAACGATTCGGGAAGAAAAGATTCACAGAAAAATAAATTAAGAACATATAGAACATTTAAAATAGATTATAAGCGAGAGGAATACTTAAGAGAGGTAACTAATATTAAACACAGAATAAGTCTGACCAAACTAAGAATAATTAAGTGATCATTGTTTACAAATTGAAATAGGTAGATATACAAGACCATATACCAAACCAGAAGAAAGAGTGTGTCAGATATGCAAACTTGAAGTAGAGAGTGAATTACACTTCCTACTAACATGCCCAAATTACTATAATGAAAGAAAATATCTTATTGATAAGATTGAAAACACAATTACGAATAGAAAATTGGTTGAAAAACGAAGAAAAATTTGCTTTTATTATAAATCCAAAGAAATCAATACAAAAAATAGTAGCAAAATATATATGATTGTTTCAGCAAAAGAAATAACAGTATTTGAATGAATATCTAGTTAATATAAAGAATAGAACCACCGTTATATTAAGATGTGCCTAAGTATTCCTCATCTACACATATTACATTTTCTTCTTTTTCTAAAAATTTGATATAACTTATGAAATATTGTAAATGTATTGTAAATTTATATTTGTGTGATTGTAATGTATTATTAATTATTAGCATTAAGTCTTAAATATTTGTAACAGATATATAGACGCTAATAATGTAAATAAACTAAAACTAAAAACTAAACATGCAGTCGGTTTAGAATGCCAAACGCGTATTCAGAAGACCTGCGTTTGAGAGCGGTTTGGCTTCGCATTTTTATAGGTTGCAGCGTAGACGAAACCGCTTATTTACTTCCCATGTGCTATTTCGGTCTCAGCTTCTATGTTCTATGTTTCTGAACCCGACAACGATTCTTCAATTGTAAGGACTTGAAATCCCGTCCAGTCCGATTTGGAGGCTTTGAAATGACTTCTCATGCTCATTAATTATTCGGGAGGTTATTTGTTTAGTATTGAAAGACTTAAGGGACAGATATGTCCCTGAACTGAATTAATTTTGATCCAGTCCAAGTACTTGAACAAAATTAATTCAGTCCTTTCACATGACTTTATCAGGTTTAAAGTAATATCATGTGACCCAAAAAATAGCCCATTGATTGGCTGGTTCCTGAATAATTAATGAGTATGAGAAGTCGTATGAGAAGTATTTTTACATTTTTTTAAGGACTTCGTATATAAGCCCGGTCATCGCGCCTAAACTCCTTGGTAATCAAGCCAGTAGTATAAAATGTTTTCGGTCGGAGATCCGTGAAATCTGAAAACTTATTCTGTAAACGCATAGAGACTCTGTACAATGCGTTCTAAGAATGTTATTTCATTTGGTGAATGCCTGTTCCTTCCTCCGTTCTTGAAGGTTTCACTAATATTTACAAGACGGGCCGTTCGCTTGGAGCTCAATGGCATGGGTGGGGTAGGGGTTTACCGCTCGCCTCTCACCACTGGGGTCGGGGTTCGAGCCCAATCTCTTACCCAGAGCCCTTATTTCTTACTGTGCATGCTCGACGAAATAATTTGGCTCTGGAAAACTCCAATATTTCCTGTGCTGTGATTGGTTCTCGAGAGCAAAGGAAGATACCGGAAGTAAAAATTACAGTACTATGGAAAATAAACGAGATGGCGTCTCGAATTAAGTACACCAAAAAAGCCTGTAGGGCCGGATTTTTCAAAGTTTTGCCAGTTTTGTAATGAAAATTGTATTGATGTCCATCCAATAGATATTTTCGAAGTTAATTTAACTGAAAACCATCTTCAAAACCTAATTTTCCAAGCACAAATTCACATGCTCGTTGAACATCGTCCGCCATTTTGAATTTACCTAGTCTGTCATAATGCGCATGTGCGAGAAACCCAGAATCTGGGTCTTCCGGTTTGGAGTGTTTTTTTTTTTGGAGTTTTTTTGGCTCAGACTGGATCATATGTGAGTTGAGTTTTTTTGTTGTGTTGTTCTCTCCCTTGCCACGAGGGTTTTCTCCGGGATCTCCGGTTTCCTCGCCTCCGTAAAAAGCAACATGTGAGTTGAGTGTTGTCTGTTGTTAATATAGAATGTAGTGGTAGTGCGTGTGGTCGGGCACAAAAGCTTGACTCAATATCATTATAAAAAAAAGAATACTATTAATCCAGCTAATAACATCTTTTTAAATAATCGAGCTATTTTAGGATGTCTGAAATAATTGATTAAGCTATAATTCATTAGTCAATATTAGAACAAACAATTACAGCAGGCAACGTGACTTTAGTCTCTCTCTCTCAAAAATAACAAAAAGCAGCTACGATGTCAGATCTAGTGATATTTTAACTTCTTTAGGCTGGAAAAGCTTACAAAGAAGAA